ACAAGAAGAACCGGTCGACTGGTACAGTAACCGTTTCGTATCTGTCATTTTTCCTCAGCCGATACCTGCTCCTCCGCCGTCTACCCTTTATCCTCTTTTCCACGTACCTTTCACCAGTTTCCTCTACACAGGAGCGTATTCATTTTTTGACGCCCAACAATGAACCAGAGCTTAGCACGCATGTAGAAATGCGTGTCTTAAAGACGTACATATGTATCCTCGCGTAAAGAGGTCGTTTTTTTCGGTGATACTTAAATTACGATTAGATCCAGAAATAATAAGATTAGAAAGTCAAAATGTTATTTATATTTCAAGAGTACTTTCACGTAGTAATGTTAGTAAGAAATATCTTTGTAGCGCAGCCAACGGTGTGCTGAGGATTGAGCTGACTCGTACTTACTATCTATATCCCTTTAATTTCTTTATTAAGTTTAAGAAAAATAGAATATAATAGATATTTAAATTTGATAATAAATTATATAACAACTATAGTTTGTAATTGTGAAATTTAATAGTAATCCCAAACATCTTACAAATATAATAAATGAATGAATCTTATATAAGACAACGTATCTCATTGATACATATGTTCCTTAATAAGAATATCTTAACACTAAAACTACTGAACAATCGAATTGCCTTCTACTAATTTTTGTATAGAAAAGCTAAAAGTACGTCTACCGAGATTTCGACTAATTTACAATTCCATTCGCGTATTACGAAAATAAATTCTTCAATAAAACCTCAGAGAATGATTTGTTATCATATCAATATTTGAAAAAGAAAAATCATGAACAGGTCATTGTTACCCGTCTGGTAGTTCTAGTGTTGTTCGGCGTTGGTTAAAAATCCAAATATTATTTTACAATTAAAATAAACCGCCTGGCGGCAGAACCACCCCGCGCTAAGCACGGAACGTACGGATTACACTAATTCTAATTCAAAGTGCGACCGCGGTCGCGAATTTTGCTAAGTGTAACGCTGTCACGAAGAATTATAAGAATTGATCGTTCGCTTTGGAGGCAGATCGCAGAGGGAAAACGAATCGCACGGTTCCAACAATCTCGTCTTCAGTCGTTGCGACCAAGCGGTTGACGCGTTTGTACAATATTTAGGGCGACCTCTTATTTTGGTCGATAGGACGAGCAAGCCGTTGCACCAAGAGATGCATTCATTTCTGGTTTTGATTGACAGGACTAGCAAGCCGTTGCCATCAAGAGTTTTATTCATTTTTGAATTCTCGCGACGTACAAGCTACTAACGCAACTCTTAGGGCAACGGCTTGTCAACAGTCGCTATCGACCTCAGACGTTATATACTAAACAAGTGTTAACATGCAAGTATGTAAATACACAGAGTGGGAATCTGGCATAGTGTACGTGAGTATTATACCATGACCTAAGGTACGTATTTAAAACAAAATTTCAAGTTAATATCAGTATCATATTGTTACAAAGTGCAGTTCACCGACGAACATTTTATATGAAATTTTAATACTTAATTTTTCATTAATCATATGTGCATATTCCTTCAAAAAGGTAATTATTTCAAAGGATTATTCAGGCATGAATTTTTGTTGAAATTTATATACGTCCAGATTTCACGTAACATTGAAAAATTAGTCTTCTTAACGGATGAGAAAATACCGCTCAAGACAATACTTATAACTGTACTGTGCAGATCAGATTATTTTGGTTCTATCATACATATAAAGTAAATATGGATTTTCTTCATAAAATAGTAAACTGTACTTAAATTTTTGACGATTCTGATATATTTTATATATTTTAACATAAATGAGTCCATGAAAAAATGATTGTAATAATAAAATTACAATTAAAAAATGATTATAATAATAAAAAAATACATTAGCACACAAGACATAGAAAAAACTTTTTCTATTAAATATGTATAATTTTATCATAAATTAGAGTTTTATTAGAAATGTTTTAAATTAATGTACAAAAACGTAATTATGCATAAATATTCACATTCTATTTACCAACAATTACATTATTGTGAAAAAAAATTTTTGAAACTGTTATATAATATTTATTATATCTAATACATCCAATTGTCAAGAAATCATAAGTTATTATAATTATCTTATTGTATAATTTGTATGTGTTTAAAATTTTAATAATTACTACACTTTCTTCGCCACACTTTAAGAACGACACCTTTTGTCAGAACTCCAACGGTTTTTCAGTCCGTTTCTCATGGAAAATGATTGGTAGGATGTTAAATCATAAATCTGAATAATTATTATCCTGTACATTTTTCCCGGAAACGAGTGAAATAATAAGAGACAGTGACGTTCGAGAAAGTAGTAACGGTAAAACGACAAAACACACGCATGGTAACGGTAATGCAACAAAATGCATTTCCGAAGCTTTAAAGTAAGATATACATGTGTACATACTTAAGAAGGCAACAAAATGACTTGGTAAGCTTTCGTATATTTTCTAATTAATTATATTCACGGAAGAGAATAGCTTTTCACGAGTTTACTTTTCCTGCATCCGCTCATAGATTTTCACGTATTACGCAATCCTAAAATTACCATTAAAGACAATAAAATTAATGATACACTTTTTACGCGTAAGATGAAAATCATACCGATAAGAAAAGTTTCAATAGAAAATAAATGCATGTTAATTACATCATTTTTAATATAAAGTTATTCCAGATTTTCAGAAGCTAGACATTTGCAACGTTTTTTTATACATTCTCCTAAACTTTATAATGTATTTTAAAAATGTACAATTCACAATACAAAAGAACGAGCATTAAAAAATAATTTAACAAATCCGTTACAGTAAATTACATTAATTGATAAAAAATCGAAAATTGATGTTCAAGGATCATTTGTAGTTAGACAAGAAATATGCCTTCAACTTTATTGCATAATTACAATATGTATTTGTGGTGAAAGTTGCCTCTAAGAGATTAGCATAAAAACTGATGCTATCGTTCTGATGGATATTTAGTAACTAATTACAACTACACCTATCTAGCCAATGTTAATCTCTAAAAAATGCGAACGAAGGTCTGCACGTTGTTTGACTTACTGTAACACGAAATTCCATTTCCCAAGTATGAAAGTTACAATCAATTTAAATTAAACCGTCGTTCATCATGCATGCATCATATTCGATGAGTAATTATATTTAATGTACCAATAATTCTCCGCATTTTTCCAAAATCTTTGAACGATACTATACTTCGAACAATATTCTCTGAATAACTATTTTCAACACAATAGGAATATGTTATAATAAAGATCCGTGTATAATAAAAAAATTTGTAGTTTATAGTTATCTTAAATATAAATTATCGAATAATAATGTTATTTTTGACTCCCAAAGAAGTAAACGTGCAAAGATGACAAAAATGTTTTGAACTTTACATTTGTTACAACGCAATTAGAACACCAGCGCATGATAGACAATGCGGAAAAAGGAAACGTCAGGAAAGGAAAAATATATATAGTACATCTAAAAATATTATTTTTATTAGCTTTGAAAGTTAGCATTAGAAAAACTCGTTGAGCATGTATGTATGAATGGATAGTTTTGTAATGTTACTGAACTGCAGAAACGGCAAAATGGTATTCATATCTCATTAGAATTTCATTAAGTTCATTGTGCTTAACGGCGGTGAGGAAAGTTAAGAACGCGAGCAATTGCGTAAGATAGAGAGATTCCGCGTTGTGCGCCGACTTTAATTCAATTTCGTAGTATCCAAAGTTGTCACTCGTGTTCTACTAACGATTTATGATACCCACTTTATCATTTTCGAACCTGTAACAAGGTATACCTATGTTGTTTCAGAATCATCTACATAAATTTTTCTATTCATAAAATATATATATATATATATATATATATATATAATGATGGAATAAAAATATCATTGTTACTCAATCAGTAATAATAACAATAGTAAATCATTCACAATGTGAGCAATTCGCAACAAATAAGTAAAATTTAAGAAGTTAGACTTACATTTAATTACGTAATAAAAGATATAATTATTCAAATGTTTGTACAAGTGTAACATTTTTCTGATGAAAACAGATATCAGTTTGAAAGAAGCGCTTTGAAAATTGCGACGTTAAAAACTATCAATAAATAAAATAATATTAAACTCAATGTTATTACTAAAATATCAAATTTACCACTCGATAATAATTTATAATCGAAGGCGTTGTGCTCGCAATTACTTCGTGACATGTCTCAAATTCGTGTGTAATATCAGCAAAATGATATTGTCAAGTTGGAACAATTTTATTTCATTGGTAACAAAATATAATTATATGAACGGGCACGCAATAAAGATTCTGTGGTAATACGTATTGTTCTGCAAACCGCGCATCTTTTGGATAAAAACTCGTTAGATAAGTAGCATGAAAGAGTACAAACTCCAATAATTCAAAACAACAGATGTACACGATCAATTTTCGAAAATTTTGTTTACTTGTTATATTAACTCGTTGCACCAGCGGATATCGTATGTCAAATAAAATTGTAATAATGGAACATTTGTATTTTCAATAGAGTATGCACATTATTCCTATTTCAATTGGGAAAACGTATCTTATAGGCTGAACTTTTATAATCCCTTTTAAGTAGCATAATAGTACAAACGAAGATACCAAAATTCACACGATTACCATTCTAAGCTTACCTTGTCGGATATGATAAATATTAAAAACTATTTTATTTTAAACGTGAACAGGTATTGCGAGCATATAAAATTATAATCCGTTCGAATTTAATCCTACGAATAGAAAGTTGTCCTTTCACTAGCTGTAGACAGTCAAATAATATACACATACTGTCATTGTTTTAGCTTGAAGCAACGTCTTATTTCCTTATGTGGGTATTAAACAGCAGTGATGTATAATGTATTTTTCTCGGGCAGATTAATTAAGTCCTAAGAGTACCTAAATGTCTACCATTGAACGCAGTTCAAAATAAATATAGTCCGGTACTTACCATGTTGGTACTTGAGATCGTTCCGTGCGTGTATGTGTCGCGTACACCGGTAAGTATCAGCTAAAACCGCTGTCCACTGTTGTCCAACCTAGGCATGCTTACAAAGTGGCTGATAATAACAAACGGCAGTCGCCGATGAATTCAATGCAACTTAAAATTGACGTTGTTGTCTATTGACACAGTCAACACAGATCACTACAGGTAATAAACACACCATGCATACACACATGCACACACAACACGTCTTTATTACACTTGTGAAATCGTGCGTGTGTGAGAACGCGCACTCACATGCACTGCTATTGTGTCCGCACGCGAAAAGCGTGATTGAACGTTTTCCCAACAAATCGAGTGCCGGAATACAGTGCTCACCATCAATTTAAAAAGGATCAGTTAACAAATATTTTCATTAATCGTTGGTTAAAAATTATCCATCAATGTTGTATGTTCCCGGATGTTTCAGACCTTCGTTTCTAATTTTTTTCGCGCCTTTTTAATGAAACGCTAAGAAGTCACGTGCAAGACGAACGGAAGAAACGATGGATTTTCAACCTAGCGAACACCGACTGAGCTCTCGACCGGCAGGTAGGTGAGCCGATGCCCCTCCACCGGACTTACCACCACGGCCACTCACCATTCTCCATTCTCTTTCCCTTTGGTTCACTTGACTTCGTCTTATTCTTTGGTCTTTCGCGTGCTTAGACTCTGTAGTATGCCAGTTGCGCAGCTGTCTGTTCAAGCATTCAAACGTACGGGCCGCAAATCATGATTTAATTCTGTATTCGCATTTACAAAATTAAACACAAAATCAGTATGATTGTCAATGAAAAGTTATTGTAACGGAATTAAGTTACATGATATTTTGTAGAAAAAACATGTCTTTACATTATACGCATGATTATAAAAGAAATTAAATATTTAATTAGAATGACATTAAATATTAGTTGAAAGATGAGGAAACAATAAGAATACAACGAAAATTTCATATCTAATCGTAATTATTTTATTTATTCAATGCACACTTATTGCGTAGCAATAATTCCATCCTCTACATTATCTTCTTCCTCTTCTTCTTCAGTACTTTCAGAAACATAGTTTTGAACATCAATTTTGAACAGTTCAGGAGATGGTGAACTCGCAATTTGAACTCTAAAAAGTTATAATGTATTAGACGTATATAAATGTTTTAAAATGCTTTAGTAACACATTTCGAAGAAACCCGCAATTTCCTATATATAATTGGAATCACTTTTAAGTACCTAGTAAAGAATATTCCATCTTTCTTTGGTTTCACTAAATTAATATCTTGAATAAGACATTTGAAATTCTCCTCTAAATGGTTTATATCCATATTAAGCTAAAAATCAAAAAATGTATAGAATTAACAATTTTTTTATGATTCTTCGAGATACAAGTTGTACACATTGAAAAAATCATTAAACTTAAATTTACCTTGCCAAAAATACAATCAATTTTTCCATATTGTTTAAAGTCATTATCTGGCACTAAAGAATATACAACTCCATGTTTAAATTTTTTAACAAGATAACTTATGTTGTCACCCATATTACCTAAAACAGGTAAATTTAAAATTAATACTGATATAGATAATTACAAAATAAAATTAGTTACCCGTTTTCTTATTTGGAAATTTATTTTTTAATAATCCCCTAATTAACAATAATTCAGGTATGATATTCATATGAGCTACTACATAGTCATATTCTTGGAAGGAAAAATGTCCATTCTGTAACAATGATAGAAAATAACATTGCATGATTTGATTAAATATTCAGTGATTAACTTACTTGAATCTGTTTGATGAGATCAATGCCACCAATATAGTCAACACCAGCTACTTTAGCTTTCTCAATCTCCTTTTCTCCTTTACAAAATGCTAAAACTGTTCTCTTTTTTGGAACCTCAAATAAATGAGGTAATTCTATTAATTTTGTAAATTTCTCAAGAAATCTTGTTTTCTTTTCACGCTGTTTTAAAAGTTACACAAAATGTTTTTATTAAAACCTTGTTTAAGAAAGTACAAAATTATAATTTCTTACCTGCAAATTTAAATCAAAAACAGCATTAACATATGCATCAGGTATATTATACATACTAGGATGATGTGTTTCACGATGACATTCTATAGCTTGTTTAAAAGAATAAACTGGTCTCTTAAAATATTTAATAAACCATACATTATCGACTACATCCTTTCTATGTGTATCATCTATGAATAAATATGGATTTACTTTTTTTACTTCCAGTCTTTTCCTTCTATAAATTTATAAATTAATTGAATTAAGTAATTATATTATTACAATAATCACAAAAATTTTAATACGATAAACTTACTGTAAGGCATTTCTTTTTTTTATGTTAGCTGCTGTTCTTGCAGCTATTATTTTTTGTTTCCTTAGTCTTGTACCTTTTCTAGCTGCATAATTTCGTGTTTGTGCAAATAAATGAGTCACACTGGATCCAGTGATTTGATTACAAGTTGAACGAAAACTATTAATTAACCACCCTACAAAATAAAAAAGGAAATAACAAGCATCCTCTAAACTAGATGAGAAATTAATATAATACAATTTACATATACATAAACATTACTGTTTAGCATTTCATTGAGGTTATGAACACAAATTTTGCATATTATACAAATGATTTTGTATCATGTATTTTGTTAGAGAGTAAGTAAATAACGTTATTATTTTTTATATTTACCTCACCATAAAAAATTTAATAGTCAATAGAGAAAATATAAATCAGAAAATATTACCTGTTAACATGATTGCACTTGTGTGTAAAATAATTATAAACAGAGTTTATAGATACCAATCTTTAAAGTCACCATAAATTCAATAAACACATGCTAGGGATATTTAAATTTTTAGTACAAAATAAAGATTAAAAATTAAACACATACATTTTAATAATTACAAATAAAAGTTGTCATATATATCAATTATTTTCATATGTATATATTTACATGTATACACTGCCTAATATTACATAGATCAGGGGTGTCTAACTAAGAGCTCGCGAGCTCCATAGTGACTTCTCCCATCACGGAGTTATCCTCTCCGTACCAACTGTCACTACAAAGGTGCTAAATAACTGATTCACAGTATTAACTCGAAACAGCGTTCCCCACTACCTTCACTTAAGAAGCTACCCAACATTGCTATGTGAACAGTTTTATATAGTGTTCAATGCACAGGTAAAAGTAGGTATGGAGAGGGTAACTTTTCATGAGGGGAGTATCACTAGAGTGCTCGCGGGCACCGATTTAACACTCTTGTGTACCTGTGTATTAAACACACATAGAACTAAACGTTATGTTTTCCCTTTGTAAAATATTAAAATACTATATGATAATTAATAGAAAATTCTAAAATATAGCTATTTATTAGGTTGAATAGAAAGTTTTGTTGGCAAAATTCGTATGAATTTGCAAAATTTTGTCAAAGACTTTAACCTTTTCCAAGTACTTACAGGTGAAAAACAGCTGTATCAAACATGAAACATATATTTTACATTGAAAAATTAATTATTTTTTTTAAATAAACGCTTTTCTTTCAATTTACTGATAAAACTTTTTGTTCACTCCAATATATTAATTGAATATAAATACAACATCTGTTCTTAATTACAAATTAGAGAATTGAATAAAAATAAAACTTGTGGAGTTTAAAGTGCGCGCGTATGAAACAGTACTATTCAAACAATATGGCTGGCGGAAGTAGACGTCATCAGTGCCAACTGCCAGCCAACCAAGCTCGCTGAAGCTGCGTTTTCTGTAGGAGGAAAGTCATTTTTTCTGTCTCCTGCATCTTCGCGTATTTTTTCGTATTGGGTACGTTAATCCAGTGACGAAGTAACAGGTTTTACGTAGTTATACGATGCGAACGCTTTTCTGACCCGTCTGCATTTTTGCATTTTGGTGGTGGTGAACGAAAGATTATATCACTATTATTAGTGGTTTAGATCTGGTGAGTCCGTCGCATCCTGATTGTAATCGTGCACTGATCATATGCTATATTCTATTCTTGCCTGCAAGTATAATAAACGATGCTGATTTATTGTTTATTTTGGCCTAAAACTTTGTTATTGTTTTTTATAACATTTTAATTTGTTATAATATGTTTGATTATGATTTAACTAAATTTTGGACTGCGCCAAGTTGTAATAGGTTAAAAAAATTCGCGTGTAGTATGCATTTACTTACGGGCGATAATCTTGTCAACTTTTCATTGTTGCAGAGTCATTCAGTAGTTAGTACATAGTGAACTCGATATCTATTCATATCTACAAATATGTTCATTTGGGATTGGTTTGCAGGAGTTTTAAATTACCTTGGTGAGTACAAATCTTATAATTATTTTAAAAATATATCCTTTTTGTTTATTGTATGTGTATTTTCTTTACAAACGATATTATGTAGTTTCTGATATTTGAATATAAATAAAAATTATTCTTCTTGACATTTTTCAACAATTATAAATACCATTTTCATAATTTTATATATTATTCTTATTTTGTTTTCTTACATTTCATTTTACTTTCATATCTTTCTGAATTATCATTTTTAGGGCTTTGGAAGAAAAGTGGTAAGCTCTTGTTCCTTGGTTTAGACAATGCAGGCAAAACCACATTGCTTCACATGCTTAAAGACGATCGATTAGCTCAGCATGTGCCTACATTGCACCCAAGTAAGTAATATTTATTATAATTCATTGTCACATATAATTAAAATATGTATATAATAATTTTAGAATAGTTTTTATAATTTACAATTTTATTTTAATAAAAGTTTAAGTAAGATCCATACAATTATTAAATGAGATAAGAAATTTTTAATTTTTGTATTCTCATTAATTGTTGTATATGTTAAATTTTGTATATCATAATTATGCATGTTTTATATATTCCAGCATCAGAAGAACTTTCTATTGGGAACATGAGGTTCACAACCTTTGATCTTGGAGGTCATCCTCAAGGTATAATCATTAATCTTAATATCACATAAATATTGTAGTTTCATAAGATTTATAGAAATAAATTATATATTCTAGCACGAAGAGTTTGGAAGGATTACTTCCCAGCTGTGGATGCAATAGTATTTCTTGTAGATGCAAGTGACAGATCTAGATTACGAGAATCAAAAGCTGAATTTGATGCATTGTTGACTGATGAACAACTCAGTGCATGTCCAGTTTTAGTACTAGGTAATAAAATTGATAAACCAGGTGCAGCATCAGAAGATGAACTCAGAGATTATTTTAATCTTTATGGACAAACAACAGGAAAGGTATATAAAATAAATAAAGAAGTGTATTTTATTCTTTATTTCTACATTGTATTAAAATTTATAAATTTCAGGGAAAAATTTCTCGCAATGAAATACCCGGTCGTCCATTGGAACTATTTATGTGCTCAGTGCTAAAAAGACAAGGATATGGCGAGGGCTTCCGCTGGCTTGCTCAGTATATTGACTGAATACACATGTTAATTTAAATTCTCGGATTCTTAACAGTTTATTACATTTCCCTTTCACTGTTTCATATTGAACACCAATACCAAAGGTGTATTATCCTTTATGTGAATTGTGCAGTAGGAAAGGAATATCAAATTATGAACTGCAGTAACAATTACTGAAAGAATAAGTAATGAAGACACTGTCTTAAAAATATGATATCAACACACGATAGGAGTAATTTGTTTCATTTGAACGTGTGGAGCCTATATCATACATGAAATACATGAATTTTTTAAATTCCATAAAAGTTCTGTGAATTCTTATTATTTCGTGAATTATATTATGGAAATATTTGACATGCTGGAAAATGATATAAACGTTTTGATAAATAAAATAATAAACTATTTAAGAATTTCAAGTGTTTTACGAAGTTATTTTTTATAATGCTAATTTTATGTTTCGAACACTTCGAATGTTTAACAATATTATTGTATGCAGAAAAAGTTTTATTTATAAGCATTTAAAGTAATGTAAAAGTATTTAAAATATTCAAAGTAGTGAGGTATAGTTTAGTCTTCATTAATTTGATACTTATTAACGAAAATTATTTTTGCCTTTAAAGATAAAACTACTATTGCATAGTTTCTAAAAGAAGTGAAAGTGAATATATTATATGAAATTATTATGATGCATCACATTACAGTAATGACTTTAGTGTTGACAATGACAGATTATGTGTTAATATATAAAAACTTACATCAAGTCATCTCTAATTATATAGAAATTTCCATGTGGATTTACTGTATACCTCGGCTTATATAGGTATATTTGACTTTTAAAAAGTAACATTAAAATTAGTATTTTGGAAATTACATTTTTTTATGTGTCAAGTACAATACCTTATATAAGTACTTGTGGTGTTCTACTCGTTATTTTACAAAAATAAAGTATGTTGTTTTATATTTAACATGATTCTTATATATTTCGTTGATTCCTTATTAATAGTTTTAATTACATCACATTAGATAAAGATATAAAATTGGAGTTCTATTAAAAAATATATAACATCCAAAATGTAACACAATATTATTAAAGGACTCACAACGAACATTATAAAAAATATATAATTTCAAAATATGAACTTATAGAGTACATAAATATTTTTGTACAATATTAAACCAGTAATTCCTTTTCCTGAGGTAAATCTATAAATTGTTGATTTACGTATATATCGGATATTTCACTTAGATTTTTTGGATTCCATTTTGGATTTTGGTCTTTGTCTATTAAAAGGGCCCTCACACCTACAAATAATGAAATTTGTATACTATATATCAATCGTAAAAACTAGAAAATATAATTACCTTCGCAGAAGTCACCATCTTTACGTAAACCGTAATTACATACTAATCTGTATTCCATTTTCAAACAATTTGATAAAGTAAGGGAGTCTCCTTTTTGAATAG